AGTTCGAGACCAGCCTGGCCAATATGGTGAAACCCCGTCTCTACTAAAAATACAAAAATTAGTCGGGAGTGTTGGCAGACGCCTGTAGTCCCAGCTACTCGGGAGGCTGAGGCAGGAGAATCGCTTGAACCCGGGAGGCGGAGGTTGTAGTGAGCCAAGATTGGGCCATTGCACTCCAGCCTGGGAGACAGAGCGAGACTCCACCTCAAAAAAAAAAAAAAAAAAAGAACACAGTGGATAACTACGGGGGGTCCTGGCTGCTCTTGCAACAGGCTGAGGACAACAGTGTCCTCTGGCCACTTTAACTGCTCAGTTGCAGTAGACACAAAGCAGGGTGGCAACCTGGCTCCTTTTGGGGGGATTTCTCATTCCACGCAATGGTCCTGGTGTTGAGTGGGAACAGGCTTCTTATAGCATGACTGTAGAATTGGGCCCAGGGTGGGCACTTGGCATGCTGGGCACTTGACCCCATGCCAGGACAATTAGGGTCCTCTGAAGTTCCCTAACTGAAGCCAGGGGAAGCGAGGATCCTTCTCTTCACTTGGATTGCCAAACTTGGGTGCCACCATTAGCCCCACCCTCAGTTTGCAGGCTCAGAAGATGGATAACTGCGCAACTATTAGCCCAAGCATGACGTTAAAACACAATGAAAGCCCAATATAAACTTTGGATTATCCAAACAAACTTTTTTCCCCTCCATCATCATAAGCAGTTTAGAATAGGCTGTATATATCGCCACCATTTATATACACACAAGGATGCACCAAAATCCTCACTGTACTGGGAAGATCCCCGGAACACTCCTCAGCTTTCTAGATACAGGTGGTATGAGGTTATCCTGAAAGAAAGATTTTCCACTTGCTTCTTTGTATGCTCCCAGTTGCAATAAAATGCCACCCGTCTTCACCCTATGAAGTCACAAGCCTTGACATTCCCCATGAAACCGATAGCCTCACCCTTTTACTAATGCAGGCTTAGGAGATGGTGAAATCACACGTGACTTGGATGTCATTACTTTTACCCACCCTTTTATAAGGGATTTATTGCCTCTCAGCGGTGACAGCACTAAATCAGTCCTGTGAATCTATGCTTGTCAAGAGGAATGGACAAAACTCACTTTGATTCCTTTGTCTCTCCGATATCTATCACATTTATTCCTTCGTTGACCAAACCCAGCACAATCTGCCAATGGGCTTGCTTTGGCAATAGTGGCTCATGAGTGACATCTCATCCCCAGCTCTTACAGATCCAGTCATGGAATTGCCCACAGTTTGTGTTTCTCAGACCCCCTTCTCAGTTCTGGCTCAGGCCCTTTAGGAATCATTTATCCTGGGGTCTGACTCCCAAGCAGGGCTGTGAAGAAGGCCTTGAGAGGAAAGCGTGGGGCAGAACGCTGCCAAAAAAACAGCCCAATCTGGCTCTCAGCCAACCAGCTGGCTGCTGCGCGAAGGCCTCTCCCAGCCTCTCCAGACCCTCCTTTGTCTCCCTCAGCCTCCCTTTCTCAGCTGTCTCGCCTCAGGTAATCATCCACACTCTGCACTTCCCCAGCTCTTTTTATTCCCGCATTTCAGATCACTTTACACACGTTAATTAAGCCTTAAACCACTCAGGAAAGAAAAGCAAAAGGCGCGTGGGGATGTTTGCACTGCGCTCCTCCCAGCTGCTCTGGCCCGGGAGCAGGCCAGCCGCGGGCCGCCCCACTCCCACCCCGGGGAGGAAGGAGAGCCGCAGAGGCTGCCGGAGACCAGGAGGGCTTCTCCTGCGACACGTAGGGTTGGGGTGTCAAGGGTGGAAACTGACTCCACACATCACAGAACACCCCGTCTCATTGAGAGGCACATGTCATTGTTATGGGACACAACCTCCCATGTAGCGGTCACCTGCCACAGTTGATCCAGATGACCTTTGGAAGGTGGGTCCTGGGCAAGACGGCTGGTGAAAAGAGGCGGTCTCGGCATCACACCTGGGTTAGGTGCACTTCAGTCTGTACCGTTGTGGTCGTGATCATGGGTTTTTGAATCAGAGATGTCTTAGGTCACATCTGGGCTCTGTTGTCTCCCAGCTCAGCTGTCTTCCACATGTTGCTTTGTATCCCAGGGCCCACGGTCGTATCTGCAAAGTGCATGTGACAGTATCCACTACCCTCCCTCTACCTGGATTTTTGTGGAGGATGAAATTAGATCATGCATGCAAAATACTGGCACGCCTAGTGGTAGATGTTAGAGCTTGTTTGAGCCATCTCTATGTTTAGTCCCAGCCAGTCTGAATTAATGTAGTTCTGCTGTGGCTGTTTGGACCCTCTAGCTCAAATTGGTGCTAAAGTCTGTCATTCACAAGAAATGGTGGGGAAATCCAAATGAAGTCTGTAGTTTAGTTAATAGTCTGTATCAGTGGTAATTTTTTAGTTTTGGTAAATGTGTCATGGTTATTTGAGACATTACAGGAAGTTGGGTGAGTGGTGTGAACTCTTCTGTTTTTGCAACAAATGCTCATCTAATAATAACAATAATCTTATGAAAATACATCAAAATTCGTAATGGCTACACAGCGGGTGTCATACTTCACCTGATATGGTTAGGCTTTGTGTCCCCACCCAAATCTCATCTTGAATTGTAATCCTCATAATCCTTACAATCCCCACATGTAAAGGGAGAGACCAAGTGCAGGTAATTGAATCCTGAGGGCGGTTTCCCCCATGCTGTTCTCGTCATAGTGAGTTCTCACAAGATTTGATGGGTTTAAAAGGTGCTCTTCTGCTTTTACTCGACACTTCTCCTTCCTGACACCTTGTAAAAAAAGGTGCCTTGCTTCCTTTTTGCCTCCTGCCGTGATTGTAAGTTTCCTGAGGCCTCCCCAGCCATGCTGAACTGTGAGTCAGTCAAACTTCTTTCCTTTATAAATTACCCAGTTTCAGGCAGTCCTTTACAACAGTATGAAAATGGACTAATACATTACCTGTATTTTTAGTGTACTATATTAAGATACCTCCATAGTGACCAAAAACATGCCAACTCTTTGTTACCAAAATAAGAGGCAATTTATGTTATCTCTAGTTGTTATCACCACCAAGAAAAATCCCTTGAGTTTTCAGTGTCTACAAGGTACCGTACTGAACCTTAAAATAGCAAATATTACTATCCCGTAAAACCATTACCTGTGTGGCAGTCATTTTAAAGTAGGTGTTTGGATGTAAGATACTTGATAGCCTTACCATTTAAGCCCCCAGTACTTCCCTTATTTCACAGAAAATGAATGGCTTGCCAGTCAATCAGCTCTGAGCTTTCCCTTTTGGTGGGTGGTGACTAGGAAGAGCAATCTTGTCAAATAACACTGTAGATTATATCCGCTTGCCACTCTGAGTAGTTTTTGAGAGGTTCGTCTTAAAATGCTGAGGATATCTTTTCTTTCCCTAATGTAATAGGGACCAGATGATTTAAATGCTTTTATGTCCTCATTTCTTAATACCATGCAAATTGTACTCGCAGAGGGTCAGAAGGAGATCTTTCTTCCTTTCTTCCTTTCTTTTTTTCGACAGGGTCTTGCCCTGTTGCTCCGAGGCTGGAGAACAGTGGCTTGATCATAGCTCACTGCAACCTCGAATTCCCCAGGCTCAAGTGGTTCTCCTGCCTCAGCTTCCAGAGTAGCTAGGACTGCTGGTGTGTGCCACTACAGCCAGCTAATTTTTCTTATTTTTTGTAAACACAGGGGTCTTGCTATATTGCACAGACTGGTTTCCTGGACTTAAACGATCCTCCGGCCTCAGCCTCTCAAAGTACTAGGATTACAAGCATGAGCCACCACACCCAGCCCAGAAGGAGATTTTCATTGAGTGAATGGTGAGTTTTATGAAGAACCTCGACATGGATCCCTCCCATCAAAGAATGTGAATAGACAATGGCTACATTAAGTGGGTTCTGTGAGACTCACAGCTTTAAAACGCAAACCCTCTGTCTTGTCAAGTTGCTCAGCTCTCCAGGTGATTGGCGATCTGTGAGGTGTGATTCCTGAAGTAGAGGAGCTACACCTGGACATTTGATTGTGCCTGTTGGCCGAGCATTCATAATCAACAGTTGGGTTGGCATCTGCTACCCACAGGGCATTAATGGATCTGGGCCTGTGAAGAAGGTTAGGGCAGAGCCCCGGTTCTCAAGTATGAGAATGACATTTGTCACTCTTTTTAGTTGCCCAGGATGTGACCCCTTCCTGTGCCCGGGGAATCCCCAATCTCAGGAGGCAAAGCCACCCCCGCTAAAACTGGAAATGGCACAGACCACATACCCACCCTTTCTTGCAGTTGAGAGTACAAGGGACATAACCTAGGTTTCCCCAGCAGCTGGGGATAGGAGGGAGTGGGGTAGTGCTTCATTCAGCAGCCGTAGGAGTGGCAGCAGCCTCTATGGCAGAGCGCAACAGCGTTGGTGTCCATAGCAGGACCATCACCTGCCCCATCTGCAGCATGAATTTAATTTAGGCCTTGATCCAGACTGCATCCTCTTGGAGCTGATCCTCTAGCTCTCTTAAGGATCCTTGTGAGCCACCCACCATCCTGTAAACAAATGCCCTTCCTGCTGGGATCAGCCATGCTCAGCTTCTGTTGACTGACACAAGAGTCTCCTCTCAGAGTCTCTATCTTGGATACCAGTTGCACCAACAAGCCATTATTCTTCCAGCAGTGGCATGACGTTCCTGCTGATCCCTCACTCGTCAGACTCCTCCTGTCATGACAACATACACTTAGGGATGGCGCATCTGTGGCCATGGAATGAGATTTCACTAGTTACCTTGGTTGTTGGTGCTAAGTGAATCAACCAGAAATGTAAGCAAATTTAATCTCAAGTACTTTTCTGCATGGGCAAGATGGGGCATGCGTTGATACTTGTTTCTGGTAACACTGGTAGGAGTCTTTCTTATGACACCAGAGAACGTAATACAGTAGAGTTTTGGCCAAAAGAAAGAAACGACAATGACAACAACAATAACAACAACAAAACCCTCCATAGTTACAGGGAAAACATTTTTTGTTATTTTTTAATAGAAAAGGAACAGTTTCAATATTCAGTTTATCTTCTTTATCCAGCCTCTTCTTTTTGTGTTGTAGAAATCCCATTGTGAACACTTATACTTCATCCATTGACTAGATGACACTGAACTTCACGATAGGAAACTTTCAGTGTGAGATGGATCATCTTGTTTCAAAGAGCAAAGAACTGATCCCTGAAAAGATTGCGAGACCGTGAGCTTCCATTGATAAAAACCAGGAATACAGGTTTTTCATATACTCCCAGCAAGTTACACGTGGAAGTAGAATAATTTCTTCCAAAACAAGAAGACAAAGATATCGTTAATCCTTTCAATTGCATTACTTTTAGCAGCCGTAAAAATAAGCCCAGCAACAAATACTCAGGGTCTTAAATGAAAGCAGAGTGGATTTAAGAGAATTGGAGCAGAGGGCACAATGAAAGTTCCTTTGCTTTCATTTTGAATTTTGTGTGTGTTCAGTTGTCCAGCGACTGTGACTCCATGAGGGAGGGTGATCATCCCTGCACAGCTGCGAAGCGTAGGGGCCATGGTTTCCACCTTTTTTCCTCCCATGTCTCTGTCAATCTGGCTTCCACTGAAATCACTTTCACTAATGCACTAATAAATCCCCAACGACTTAATCTACCTATCTATGCTGCTGTGTCACACTGCTACTTTCATTTTCTTGCAATTCTTGCCTTTACTGAGCTCTACATTCTTCCTGTTTTCCTTCTCCCTTTCTGGCCAGTCCTTCTCCATCTCTCTCACTGGCTCGTCCTCCTCCCCGCCGCCCCCCAACTAAGGCCGTAGTTCTCTCATGGGTTATTTTCTCTTCCATTCCACATGCTTTTTCTTGGTGATCGTGTCCATTTTCATGCCTTCTGACAATCACCAGTAACCAATGACCAGCACGTACATACTTTCTGAATTTCAAATCCCTGTCTCCAATAAGCTCCTGGACCCCTCCACCTGAATATTTTGCTGTCACCTCAAATTCAAATTCAGTGTCTCAGTCTGGATTATTATCATTTTGCTCCAAACCTCCGCTTTTATTGTTTTTTTAGACAGGGTCTTGCTCTGCACCCCCGGGTTGGAGTGCAGTGGCATGATCATGGCTCACCACAGCCTTTACCTCCTGGGCTCAGGTGATCCTCCTACCTCAGCCTCCTGAGTAGCTGGTACTACAGGCACGCACCACCATGCTCAGCTAATTTTTTGTAATTTTTGTAGAGATGGGATTTCTCCATATTGCCCAGCCTGGCCTGGAACTCCTGGGCTCAAGCGATCTGCCCTCCTTGGCCTCCCAAAGCACTGGGATTACAGGCGTGAGTCACTGTATCTGACCAAACCTTCACTTCTTATATTCCTATATTAACTGCCCAGAAAGCTCAAAATTATCCTCAGCATGCCCCTCCCTCCCGTTCCACACTCATTCACCAAATTCTACAGATTCTGCCTTAGAGATTAATCGTAAACCTGGCCCTCCTCTCTATCCTTCTGGCCTTTGCCTCAGTGCAGCCCCCTTCCCCTCTCTATGGCTGCAGTCCCTGACACATCCCCACACTGCTTCACAGTTATCTTGCACCACATGAGACAGACTGCTTGGGCAGCCAAGGGAGGAGAGCTCCAGCAGACCTAGGAGGCCAAGCAGATGGGAGCCAGCAAAGGAACAAAGGTTATCCACGGGGTCAGGACCCTGGGGGATCCTGAGGCTTGAACGGAAGCTATAGTTCTGCAATTGTAGCAAGTCCTGCCTCCAGCAGTGACCAAGCTGATCCCTAACTCCTCGGAGGATTCCCAGGGTAGGAAGGAAGCTGCCCCTGGCCATAGAACTCATTACCCTAAAATACCACCTCAATTCCATCGCTTCCCAGTCCCCAGTCTGGTGATTCCCCATCATCCACAGAATCCAAAGAGTACACTTTCTATTTCCCACCGAGTACTCCAGGATCCCGTAATTGTTCACGCAGCTTTGCTGTTGAGTATGTCAATTACTCACCTAAATTAGCCATTCCCCTCTCTCACACTTAACTATTGACTGTGATTTTCCAGCCTCTGAAATTTGCCTATGCCTTTTCTCCTCCTAGAATCGTGTCCTTTAAGTCTTCAAACCTATCTGTTTAGGTCTTATGGGGTTTTTCACTTGTTAAACCAACACATATTTAGAACTAACTAGGGGCCACGCCAATTCTAGCAAAGAAGACTAGAGCTCTCCCCTCAAGGAGCACTTAGTCTACTGGGAAAGGTGGACAAGGAAAAGGAATTTGCATTACAATGTGATAAATTCCACAGTGATGTTGCTGTATGATGTCCTGGGAAAACCTTTCTGGGAATCTCTCAAATCTCATCACCATAGAGATGTTCACATTAACTTACAAAGAAACCATTTCCTGTCTTCTGAACGCCAGGGCTATGATTCTCAACTTTGTTGTACAAAGATTCATCTGGGGCCTGTAGTCCCAGCTACTCGGGAGGCTGAAGCAGGAGAATGGCATGAACCTGGGAGGCAGAGCTTGCAGTGAGCCGAGATTGTGCCACTGCGCTCCAGCCTGGGCGATAGAGTGAGACTCCACCTGAAAAAAAAAAAAGATTCATCTGAGGGCCGGAGGCGGTGGCTCATGCCTGTAATCCCAGCACCTTGGGAGGCTGAGGCGAGTGGATCACGAGGTCAAGAGATTGAGACCATCCTGGCTACCACAGTGAAACCCCGTCTCTACTAAAAATACAAAAAATTAGTCGGGCGTGGTGGTGGGCACCTGTAGTCCCAGCTACTCAGGAGGCTGAGGCAAGAGAATGGGGTGAACCCGGGAAGCGGAGCTTGCAGTGAACAGAGATCAGGCCACTGCACTCCAGCCCGGGCGACACAGCGAGACTCCATCTCAAAAAAAAGATTCATCTAGGGAAGCTTTTTTTATACACATTCTCCAAAGTCTCACTTTCAGAAATTCTGATTCAGTCGACCTGAGATTCGGCCTAGGAATAAACATTTTTCATAAACCCCTCAGTGATTTTAATACAGGAGAGGCCACAGGTCACACTTAGAACAACATTGCTAATGCGTTTATTGTTTTTGCAACTCATAGACCATACCAGATACTTTCTTGTAGTCTACATGCTTACATGAATGGCTTATCTAGTTTGCTAAATAATAGAGCTTTAAGAGCAGAATATTTTACTTATACATCTTGTTTTGTTTGTTTGTTTTGAGACAGGGTCTGTCGCCCAAGCTAGAGTGCAGTGGCATGATTGTGGCTCACTGCAGTCTTGAACTCCTGGGCCCAAGCAATCTTCCCACCATAGCCTCCCAAGTAGCTGGGACTACAGGCAGGTGCCACCGTGCCTGGTGTATTTTATTTTATTTTTTTTTAACAGAGACAAGATCTCACTATGTTGCCCAGGCTGATCTTGAACTCCTGGGCTCAGGTGATCCTCTCGCCTCAGCCCCCCAAAGTGTTGGGGGTTACAGATGTGAGCCACTACGCCCGGCCTTCTTATACATCTTTATACTCCTTCAGGGCATAAGAATAGTACATGAGTAATTGCATATCTTTTGTACTTCGTAAGTCTTTAACAATTTTAGTATAGTCATATTTTGTATTTAAATTTTGATAACTGTATATTGATTTCATAATTTAATTTTTTTAAAAAAAAGATTGATGTGAGGACATGTTGCTGCTGAGAGGCTAAGAGATGCTAGTGACAAGGTGAGGTGGGGATGGGAGGTGCTCCTGCACCCCAGGGGCCTACGCTCTCAGGTGGGGGCGATGCAAACAGGGCGCCTGCTGCACAGACCAGCTCAGGGAGGTTCAGGCTGCACTAACATGATGCTGAGAGAATGTCTTAGAAAGGTGCCATTGGGCCTTCATGGGTGGTGATCTTTGTTCTTTTATTAATTTTTGTAGAGACAGGGTCTCACTATGTTGCCCAGGCTGGTCTTGAACTCCTGAGCTCAAGCCATCCTTCTGCCTCGGTCTCTCAAAGCACTGGGATTACAGGTGTGAGTCACCACGCCCAACCTAGAGGCTGTGTTCTTTAAAGTCAAATCTGAGGCTGGGCATGATGGCTTGCACCTATAATCCCAGCACTTTGGAAGGCCGAGGCAGGTGGATAACTTGAGGCCAGGAGTTCGAGATCAGCCTGGCCATCATGGCAAGACCCCATCTTTACTAAAAGTGCAAAAATTAGCCGGGCGTGTTGGCGCATACCTGTAATTCCAGCTACTCGAGAGGCTGAGGCACGAGAATCTCTTGAAGCCGCGAGGCAGAGGTTGCAGTGAGCCAAGATTGTACCACTGCACTCCAGCCTGGATGACAAGAGTGAATAAAATAAAATAAAATAGTCAAATCTGACCTCCTACCACATCCCACAATTGTGACAAGCCATTCTCTCAAACGATGTTTCCAGTGGCAGTTTGAAGAAAATTCGGAGGGAAGCCCATGAAGCCTGACTCCCGCCCAGCTGGACGCTGCCTGCCTTTGCTTGTAACCTCCATTAGGGCACCGTGTCTGACCATACCTGCCTGCAAAGGCTCTAGGGCTTGCAGGACTTCTGGAGCAGCTGTACTGAGATGTGGGTCTCAACCATGTGGGTTTGGTTCTGCCCTCTCTATGCTCGGACTAGATCTCTTTCTAGACGTAAACCTAACTTCCCCTGTGACGCCACATGCGCTGGGCCAGGGATTGTTGCAACCTCCACAGTTCCTGGACCACCCACTCAGCAGCATCCCAGATGGTGAACCAGAGCCCTGGTTGGGCCTGGAAATCACTGGAAGAGAAATAAAAGAGGATTAAGCTGGGATTACTCTTCCTTCTTATTTACCACTCCCTGAGAGCTCTTCTTCCCCAGCCTCTGCAGCTGGCCTCTCTTCACAACTGAAACTACCAGCCCCCTTTTGCCCCCCATCATATAGCATTAGCCCTACTCTAATCTTTCTAGAAAGTTCTTGCTCTAGAGTCCAGAACAAGTCCAGATATTGAATAAGGCATATTTTGGAGCTCAGGACCCAGTAGGATGTAGCCTAGTAGCTGTAGCAAAACAGGGAAGATTGGTTAGAAGTGGACCCAGAACTAGAACAGGATGGAGCCCAACTAGTCCCAGGTGCTGTGATGGCACCCACTGCGGTAGTGCCATCATTGGGCATACTCCTATGCCCTAGTCCATGCTCAGGGACAGGTGGAGCAAAGCACCTGGGACCT